CACCCGGCCAATAATGTCACGCCATCCACTCAAGTCTCCTCTCCAGACCCCACTGCCCGGTCAGGAAGTGGGTCTGATGGTGACTGGCTTTCTGGCTCCTTGAAGTGGAGAGGGGCTTTGATTCAGACAGAGTGGGGGAGGACCAGGAGAGGGGTGCAGAGGGAACGCTCCTGCTCTACTTCTTAAAAGTCCAAAACAAAACACTTTCACTCTGACACCTTCCAGAATAGGCAAAAATAGATCCAATCGATGAACCTTTGCTGAACCCTTCAGCCTGCACCATCAGCCACTGGTACCAGAGCAACGTGGCTTTCATCTCTACGGGACCTACCACCTCCCCAAGCCTGGGTTGTTTCTAGTTTTTTTCTCCTTTTTATTTTAAAATGTTGAAACCAATAGAGATGTTTCCAAGGGAGGACAGCCATATGTCATGCCTTCACCTGATTCCCTAGCCCCAACACCCTGTCACCCTGCTGTATGCCTCTCCTCTCTCCTCTCTCCTCTCCTCTCCTCTCTCCCTCTCCTTCATCCAGGTTTCTCTCTTGCCTACCTTTGCACTTTTTTCCTTGAACCATTTGAAAGCCAGCGACGCCCATGCTGTCTCTTTTCGGAGACCTCAGTGTCTACCAAAACAAGGGCATTCTCTTCTAAACTACAATGCAATGGTCACACTCAGGAGAGGCAAACTCTACACCACAAGAGCATCTCACGGACAATCCGTAGTCAATCTCCCCATGGCCCAGTGTGAGCCGCTGTAGTTCAGTGGTCTCCTGTGGATGATCCAATCCGGGATTAACCAAGGCCTTTAGTTGTCATTTCCCTTGGGTCTCCCTCAGCCTCCAAGGCTGCTTCTGTCTCTGATGCCCACTAGCTGTCTTGTCAGAAAGAGGATTACTAGGATTCTTTAGAATCTCATGTCATCATGGATTCCTCCACATTACACCGCTGTTAGCAGAGAGAGAGAATTGGGAGTGGAAAAATCTATAAATTTTTCCTGCTTTTTGACACTCAGGTATCTCCTGAGATATTTAGAAAGAGCAAGAATGATAAGGCATTAACAGTTCAAATAAATTAGTCACACAGTTAAGAAGCATTTCACTTCTGACTTTTGAATTATTTCTGGAAGAAGACGGGCATTGCTTTTGTTCCTGTCAGTGCGTAATTAACTCCTCCTCGTGTGAATCTCAAGGTATTTTTGAACCTCCAATAGTGAAGTCTTGTAGAACAATGAGTCAGAACCTTTCATTTTTATGTGGAGAGACAGAACATGGGGGCATCTTGGGCCTAAGATACCCACAGGGCAAAGAGACAGATTTGCATCTTTCTTGGACCACACAATCTACTTGAAGATACTGAACAGGAAGGGCCGTTCTTCTGGTGTGTCCAGATGTAAAACCCATGAGCATGGATGGTGCTTTAAGCACATTCATTCCAGGTGTTAGGTGGTGGTGGTGTCTGGGTGCATAGAATCCTCTTACCATGTGAGGGTGTGTATTTTTGTACATAATGTTACATTTTATAATTTTAAAGGACTTTATTTCTTAGAGTAGTTTAACAATACATGTATCATCCAGGTCCAAGTTTATACTCACAACGTGGAACATTCTGTGGGTTTGGACAAATGTGTAATGATGTACATCCACCATTATAGTATCATGGGGAGCATTTTCTTGGCCCTAAAAATTCTGTGTGCTCTGCCTCTTTAATATAACTTTTAAGAGTGAGAATTATTATTCTACTAAAGTGGTCACTCTGGCCTATAAGAGGCAACTAACGTTATTTTAAAAATTGTATAACAAGTGGACAAAAACTTTAAGTATTGCTTTTTTGTGGAGGAAAATCATGCATATTGGCTAGAAGACAGACCCTCCCACTGTGATGTAATAGGCAGAGCTATCCTGGTCCTTCTTCCTCATGGCTGAATCAATAGCATGAGGCTAATAGGCTTGCAGCACTTTTAAGATGAATCTGACATGTGGAAGTTTTGCCCGTCGCATTTGTGTTGCTTGACTTTTGGGAAACAGAAAGTGTTTTGTTCATTCCAGCTTGTTTGGCTGATGGGAGAGGTCTTGCTGGGTCTTGGTAGATGGGACTTTCAAAAAAATCCCCAGTCCCTTTTTCAACTCTCCCCACCATATACCCGAAGCATGGCCCTAAAGGCCCTCTACCTGGGGTAGGGTTTAAACGGAGCTTGTGGATGTGCCACCATCTAGCCTTAAACACACAAAACAGTGACCGTGTAAGACAAAGGTCATGAAGTGTCACCCAAACAGCACAAGAGCAGAAGGCCCGGCTGGCTATGACCACGCTAGTGGAGCTTGTCTTCTAGGGAGCTATCAGGAGGCCCTTGCCCTGGAAAGCAAGCGAGAGGCTGAGATGGAGACACAGGGGAATGGAATTATTTATAGTGACCGTAGACTTGGTTATCCATTTTTTAAACAAGCTTTGCTTACCTAAGCCATTCATTGTCTGGAGAGATTATATATGCCCTTTGAACTTCTATCATCTGTCTTTCTGTCTGTCTCTTCTTAAAAATCTCTTCGAAGAGAGCGTAGCTCCCTTCCTTCCATTGGAAGTGTCCTGGGAAATGCACATGATTTCCATATGGTTTTTTTTTACTTACTCCACATTATAGGCTTCTATGT